TTTTAAATTCACATGATTGTAATTTAATAGTTGTGACAAATCAATTAACTTTAAATATTTGTGAATAATGATTGATGTGCAAAATAAATAGATAAATTTTAATATATTTTAATCCTTTAATTAGGGGTCATTTAAATTTATTTAATATATATTTATATATAATATAAATATATGTTTGTAAAGGAAATTTTTCAAAATCTTGGAGAGGCCAAGTTTGGCTTATGCACCGCCCCGATGAAAATTATTAAGTAGGAAATGGCTATTAATATTAAATTATAACCTTTTCAAATTTCAGGAGATACATACAATGAAAGAGAGAGAAGATAGCTAGCCTCATAAGGCCTTCTTCAGCCATTGCGTAACCAATTTCAATCTCATCTATGCAAAAATTCGTCCATAACGGGTGAATTAAGTAAAGATAGACAAACGATCGATTCAGTTAATTTTTAAAAAAATTAATTAAGCACTTGTTGCACTGATTGCCAATTTAGGTTTAATTTATGTTTTCCATAGTTGGGTAGAGCCATGTTAAGTTATGTTTAAAAGAAAATTTATTGACTCATTTTTCAAGAGGAAGGATGTTAATAATTCTGAAAAAAGTTCCCTACACACCAAACTTACAACAAAGTTTGTTTGAAGTTCAAGTTTATATATTAATTTTTCCAATAAACTAGAAAAAATTGATATTATTATTATTTTTTATAAAGGAGGTTGTAGTTTTAGATAAGAAAAAAGGTCGTATGATTTAAATTTTAAATATATTAAATATTAACACTTAAAAATAATTATATGAATAAATTAAATTAAATTTTATATTTTTATTGCTTATTTACTTTATAACTGGGATTGCGGACTCTAATTTGAGATTATCGAGTTAATCAACATGATGAATTTCGAAGGGTGTACATCTAAGTTAGACCATATCAACATATTCTTCTCGATAAAAATTTAGTGCTTACCTTTTGCTACACATAGTGTAAGTTATAATGTTTTTCATATGTTTTAGTAATGTCAATCTTATGGCTAATAGAGCAAAATTGGAAATTTCAATTTCTTTTATTACAATAGTAGAATTAATTTTCAATTTCATATAGACGTGATCTACTGAAATGAGAGGTTTTGTTTGATTAAAATCTTTGAAAATTTTCAATTTGTTCAAGTTCTTAACTTTTAATAATTTAAAATTTTTCATTTATTTTTAACTTATTTAGAGATAAGTTAAATGTTGCTTAATGCATTATTCATTAAGCCATTGTTATTTAGAATTTATTATCATTAAATTAATAGTGTTTTTTTGTTACTCTTATAATCGAGATAAAATACTTATAAAATAAAATACAATTATAGTTAAAAAAAAAAAAACAGTCGTTTTAATTTATTATTTATTAGCCAAATCATGACATACTTCTAATAATTGTGTGTTCCATTATTAGAGCGTTAAACTTTTAATTTTAATAATAGGAGTCAAATCTTAATAATGTCAAATTATATATAATATTATATTATAACATATATAAAAACTTGATAAAATTTATTAATGTAAAAGTTTAAGTGGGTGGTTTCTCTTTTAGACAAGTAGAAAAATTCTTAAAATTTTTCTTTTAATAATGATGTATAAGATATTTTCTAATTTTAGGACATTTATCAAAAAATATATATTTAAAAATTATTTAATTATTCAAAACTTTCAAATTTAAGTAAAAAACCAATTTAATTATTTTTAAGTTGCTAGCAACAAAATTTAATTTAAATATATATATATTTTAAATGTAATTCCAAATAATCTAAAAATAGATCTTTTTTTAATTTAAAACTTTCAAATATAGTGATATATTATCTTTTAAAATAGGTTTTCTAATAATATATATATTTTTAAATCTAAAAATCTCAAATGTAGTGATATTATAAAATAAATTTTTTAATAATTTAATTATATGTCATTTTAAATTTAAAATTTTAAAATATAATTTTTATTTTTAGAGATTTATAATAATGCTTCATTATTTGATTATTTTTCAATTTAAAAAGACCAAATATCACATACATTAGAAGATAATTTATTCTTTACATACTGTCAATATTAATTTTATTTCTCTATTTTTTTAACCTTTATATTTGTAAAGAAATGGGTTTTTTTAACCTGTGAAATGCACAAATTATTTTATTTTATTTTTATAACTTGTTGTTATATAAGATGCATAATTTTTTATTATATTTTTATAATCTGTGCACCCTCATGTTAAAAAGTTAAGATTAATGCTTTTTTTTTGAAATTTTTATGAAAATTTTAAATATTTTATTTGTTCTAGAGTGTATGCATAGACGTTATAGAAATTCTTTGATAATTTATGGATGTTGGAGCGGAGGAAGAAGATCGATTTAGCACAGTAATGATTCTTTTGAAGTATTTTGACAATTGAAGGTAAAAAATATTGATTTAATTATTTAGGCATTATTTGTTGGTTTTATTTATTTATTTAGAAAAGACTGTATAGGTTTATTTTTAATAGTTGATTTTGTTGTACTTTTCTTTTATTTATTTTTTAATTTATAAATAAAGACAAATAGCAAAAACACAATACCAATTTTAACATAATTGTTTTATATAAAAATAAATTCATATTTTATTTTTTTATAATTTAATTCATTTATAGTCTTTTTTTTTTTTTTGAAGTGAAACGTTAAGTAGTAAAAGTAAAAGTAAACTTTTTTTACTTTTGAAATTGATTATAAAATCTTGTGAATGAGAAGTGACACATTTTCATTGAAACCTTTTTGCAATAAATTTTTAAAATAACTATTTAAAATTTAATACTATTACTTAAATTTTAAAATTATTTCATTTCAACTTTTATCCAATTTTGCATCAAACGCAAAACTTAAAACAAGTATAAAAATTTATTGGGCAAATCTTATAAATATTGAAAATCAAGACACTATTAAAATTCATGTAAAAAATATACATGTGAGTAAGCTATTACACACATTATTTAAACATTTAAAATCATTGTTTTTCTAAATAAATAAAACTTATATTAAAATTATATAAACTTACAGGTGTATAAAAAATATTACGTAAAATAAAAATAACATAAATTGAGGAATTTTAATTTGAACTGATAAAACTTTTAATTTTCAATTTAATATTTTGTTGTGCACTCGATAATACTATTTATAAATAAATCTTTTGGATATTTCATTTTTCTTAAATATTATTATATATTTTGAATTTATTAATTTTTAATTAAAAATTTTAATTTTATTATATTTTGATATTTAATTATATTATTTGTACTTTATATATATTGAATATATAAAGGATTAAATAATATTAATTTATATATTTAAATATATTTAAATAAATAAAGATAATTCATGTATTACACGGGTAATAAATTAGTATAACATAAAAAACAAATCATGACATGCTAAATTTAGAATACAACATTTATTAAAAACCTTTTTGAGCTTTTAATTTTAAAAAATATGTAAAAAGAAAGTGATGCCACAGCCAAGTTTGCCTAATTATTACAACATTAAAGCACAAAAAATACACATTTCTATTTTTTTTTTTTTATAAATTGAGTTGAGATAGTAACAGAAAGCATAATCTTTTCTTTAAATCGCAAAAGAAATAGAAAGGAGAGAAATGAGATATATTTTTATTTTATTTTTGTGATATACCAATTAGAATTAATCCAATTAATAGATTTTTTGTCAATTAAAATTCAATTTTTATTAAAAATATTTTACAAATAAACTTTAAATGCACAATATTGATAGTAAGCATTTGCTAGTAATTTACTAGAGGATTATTTATTATTAATTTGTCATATTTGAGGTTAGGTCAAATTATGCAATTAATTTTTATATTTATATGAACCTTAAATTTTAGTCCTTATATAATAATTTGTAAAAATTAGATTTTCATATTAATTTAATTTAATAATATCGATCAAATTGATAACAGTGTTATTTGATTTTCGTTAAATAGTTGACATGGCTATTGATCAGCATTGATTATGTTGACATGACATTGACTTATTAACGTAATAATTAAGATTGATGAAATTAATTATCAAATTATGCAACTGATCTGTATACTCATATAAAATTTAAAATTTACAAAATTTGAAATTTAATATTTATATTTGCATGAAATATAAAATTTAGTCTCTATACTTATATAAAATTTAAAATTTAATCTCCTCAATACAAAAAATATTTTTAATTTTTTTGAGCTTTTTCAAAATTTAAATTTTAAAAATATTTTAGTTTCTCTAATATATTACTTTTTACTATATATAATTAATTATTAATAATATCATATTAATAATATTGTTATTATTTATATTAATCAATTATAATATTAATAATTTAAATTAATATATCCAAGTTAATATTATTTTAATTAGTATAAATAAATTATAATGAGAACTTTAAAATTTTTTGATCTTCACAAAAAAAAAAAAACTTATTTAAATAATTAAGTTTGAATCTAACTTGATAATTTTTTAATAAAACTAATAACATAAAATTAATATAGTAAAAATATATTAAAATAAATTAAAATTTATTAAAAATAATATAATTAAAATTTATGTAATTTAAAACTAAATACAATAAATATTTGCTAAAAAAACTTTTTTTAATCCTAAAATTTTCATATTTTATGAGTATTTAACTTATTTTGAGGTACAAAATTTTTAATATTTCACAATTTTTTATAACAAAGAAAAACGCGAATTGAAAACTACAACTTAAAATTTTGTTTCAATAAAAATAAATTTTAAAAATTTAAATTTTAAAGTTCGAAACTTTATAAATTATTACAAACAAAGTTAAGCCCATATGAACTGCATGTAAGCTTTCTCCAAAAGAAAATAGGAAAGTAACAAAGGCTAAACGGGACAAAAACATGTTGAAAGAAAACAGGCAGCACATCATTTTCATGGCAAACTGTCGGTGCTGTAAGAGACCCAAAAATAATACTAAGGCTGCTGCACTAACATAGCTTCTTGTTAAACCAACCTCTTCAGGTCTAAAATTTTTGTGTTTGCTTCCCACAGAATTTTGAGAGAGAAAAATGGGAGTTGATTTGAGGCAGGTTGTGGCTGGTATACTCACTCTCACCATGTTTGTGATGCTGGTTCAAATGATCAAAAGAGACCATTTTGATTCTCTTCAAGTAATGCCTCTTCCTTTACATTACTCTGTGGTCTCAAGTTTATAAATTCTTTTCATCTATGTTTTGAAAAAATTGAATTTTTATAGTAAACCCACTTCCCAATTTCTCTACTTTTTATAACATTTTTTTATATGTTAGTTGTTTTTTGGTTTTGTGAATCTCTGATTCTATGGAAGTAAGTCTCATTGACATCAAATCTGCAACTTTAAAAGAAGAATATTATTCTGACCATGATCTTTAAAAGTGTTGTCTTTTATAGATGTTTGGTTATTTGCGTCTAATTTTAGTTGGTATTTTTTCACAAGTAAATGTTAATTGATCAAGAAGAAACCATGGTTGAACTTGAAATTTCTTCTTAATTTGAAAACATTAAAGTTGTGGTGAAGTATCTTGGAAACTAGATTGAATCAGGAAGGAAAAACGACCCATTTCAAGTTAACTTTAGTCTGGGAAGTCTAATAGTTATTTCAGGATCCCGAGTTTAGATGAGTGAAGGTTTTTGCGTCTGTCAGATTTATAATTTCCATCCTCAAGCTTCTGTAGCCAACTAGACGAAATTGTAGATGTTTTATTATTATTATTATAATAATTATTATTATTTTAAGTTCTACTTGTGCCTATCTTTTATTTATGGTGATTAAAGCGCTGCAACGTTTGTTTGATTTCATTTCAATTCCTTATACTGCTTTGGTTTATTTACTCTGAATTTACATGGTTTTTTTCCTGCTCTTATTGTGTAGGAAAAACTTCCTGGGGAGGCTCAGGATGCTCAATTTGACAGTGCCAATGTTTTTGAAAAGGATGGCCTTGTGCAGCTTTCTAAGAGGAGCAAAGGGCCTTGGATGGAGGATAGTCAAGAGCTAAAACCATGCTGGAGCAGGACGGCTTTTGGTTTGATAGCTTCACCCAACTTCCAAAAAATGACCAAGTGTTCAATAAATTGGTCTATATGCATATATCTTTGTCCTGAAATCAGCATTCAATATTATTATGCATTCACAGACAGACATTTCTGTTAATGCTTCTGTTTAATTGATTAAGTTCTTGCTTGGCTGACAGATAAGATAGAGCAGTCCGGAGGGTATGTTACTTTCTCATTGACTAATGGTCCAGAGTACCATGTCTCTCAGGTATATTTAGTATCTATTTTATTTATAAAGGTATCTAATTAAGATGCATTGTTGTTGCCTTTTTGTCTTTGTTCTCTCACAACAAAACCGTGTTTAATGTGTATAAAAGTTCCCTTTCCATTGCATCCTTTGAATTTGAGCTTTATAAATAAATTGATAGATCAAACTGTCGGTCATTGTGAACTTGTTACATTAAAAATGAGTAAATGAACGTTATTGTTGGTACTATTTGCAATTAGCCATCACCTCATGAGGTGTTCTTAATACTGAAGTAACATGTTATCTGCTGATTGTAAGAAAGGGGGAACTTTAGTCTAGTTGTGATGCACGTTGATGTGAAATAAGGAATTTCAGGAAGCTGTTTGTCTTAAAAATTCCACAAAGTTTGCTTGTCTTTATTCAATTTTATCTTTTCAGGGTTTCTCTTAAAGTTTGCGCTACTTTTCAACCGGACTAGTTTCTTACAACTTTTGTTTTTATGCAATTATTTAAAAATTAGTTTAACACTTCTACCTCCACTGGGAATCTGATAACAGTAAAACCTTAAATTCCAGTTCTTGAGCTGACTAAATAATTTAAAATCTTTAATACTGATGTTTACTGCTTATTTTGCTGACAACTCTTGTTTTGCCAAGTATCTAGATTTGGAATGGAATCTTGAATTATAAGTTGATTATTTTACACAGAATTTAATGGTACAAAGTGCCGGATATTTATGAATAGTAATCTGTTGAAAGTCATTTGCTTGTTTTCCAGCTAATCTGTTATTTATTCTGTGGTGATTGCCTCTTCAGATAGCTGATGCTGTAGTGGTAGCAAGGTATCTAACCGCAACTCTTGTACTTCCTGACATTAGAGGAAGCAAACCTGGTGATGAAAAGTTAGTGCTCTTTTTAATTTTGAAGATCTCCTATTCTCTCATCTCCTTTTCTTTTAACCTTCCCTCATCGTAAATTTTTTATTTTTTGTTATTCAAAGAAGAATATTGAGTAGTATAAATTTCAGTTAATCCAAGTGAAAACTCTGAATGTTAATAAGGTAATTGAAAATCTTCAGAAACTTTGAAGATATTTATGACGTTGAGAAGTTCGTGAAAAGCCTGGATTGGGTTGTCAAAATAGTAAAAGAATTACCCAATGAAATATCAATCCGGAAGCTTGCTGCCGTGAAAGTTCCCAATCAGGTCACTGAAGATCACATTGTGGAAAATGTAGAACCGGTATTTAAATCAAAGGGCAACATAAGGCTTGCAACATACTTCCCTACTGTAAATATGAGAAAAACCGCACAAAAGAGTAGTGTTGATTCAGTTGCATGTTTGGGAATGTTTGAAACTTTAGAGTTGCAACCAGAAGTTAATGGAGTTGTTGATTCAATGATTGAACGGCTTAGAACATTAAGTCGCAAATCAGATGGCCGGTTTATAGCAGTCGACTTGAGTGTTGAGATACTAGAGAATAAGAATTGTCACGGTAGTGGTTCAACTGGAGCAAAAAGTTGTTATAATGCACAGGAGATTGCTTTAGTTTTGAGGAAAGTTGGTGTCATAACGTCTAGATTCAGAGATCCATTGCTAGACATTAACTTGAATGAGTCGTCACCAATTTTTTTTATCTAGGTGCGATTGACCACTGTCATAACATTTAGATCCGAGGATCTATCGCTAGACATTGACTTAAGGAGTCGCCATCAATCTTTTTTATCTAGGTGCGATTGGTCACCTAAGGAATCTGTCCTTTCAGGGAACACCTAAGTTTAAGGGTCCCTAAAAGAATAGGTTCAGGTCTACTAATCAAAACAAGATTCGGGAATTCGATTACGTGTGAGGAAGGTTATAGTGTTACGGACCTAAGGGGGAGTCCTGAATCCCACATCGAACATAATAGGAGGGTCACTGGGGTATAAAAAGGTTCACACCATCTTCGCCTTGTGAGGCGCCTTTTGTAGGACAAAACCGTGAGGTCAGAGGGGCCAGAGCGGACAATACCTCACAAGAGTGTGAACCGTGGCAGGAAGGCTGATCTGAGACGCCAGAAGGGTGAATGCCCGGATCCCGGAACCGCGCGGGTTCGGAGCTTAAGTCTCGACCCGTGACAATAGCACCCTCACAACGCCCATCAAAAGATGGTACCAGCTTAAATTTGTGTTATCCAATGAGCCTTTAAAAATTTACCAAGTGATTAATTATTGAAAATTATTCTCAATTGACTCTAATACTTTTGGCAGAAAATTGAAAAAATTTCTTCACCTCAAGAGTATGCAAGAAAACTACTGTTTCACTTACAGAGACTCCATCGTCGGATTATTTAACAAAAATAAATAAATAAAAAGGAAGAAAAAAGTGATTGTTCTTGTGTAGGGAAAATTGATACTTTCAACTTTTCCTCAAAAACTTTTTTTTGAAAATTTATTTTTAAGAAAAATTGATACTTTCAACTTTTCCTCAAAAATATTTTTTTGAAATTTTGATTTTCAAGGAAAATTGATACTTTCAACTTTTTCTCAAAAGAAAACCTTTTTTGAAAATTTATTTTTAAGGAAAATTGATATTTTCAACTTTTCTCCAAAAATATTCTTTAGAAACTTTGATTTTCAAGGAAAATCGATACTTTCAACTTTTCCTCAAAAAGCTTTTTTTTTTTAAAATTTATTTTTAAGAAAAATTGATACTTTCAACTTTTCCCCAAAAATATTTTTTTTTATTTTTATTTAAAGAAAATAGAATAATAAAACAAAATAAAAGTGAAAATAAATAAATAAAGAAAAACAAAAATAAAAATAAAAAAAATATTAAATAAACCTAATCTAATAAATAAAAAAAATAAATAAATAAACAAATAAACAAATAAATAAATAAATTAAAAAAAAAAATTGAAGCGGCTCGGAGTACGGCTCGGCTCGGCTTGGTTCAAGGAAGAGAAACGGCTCGGGAAAGCGGCTCGAGAAAACGACTCGGCTCGACTATCGGCTCGGAGGGGAAAGACACGCGCAGGTCAGGAAGCGGGTCGACGCTCGGGTCGGGTCGGATCTCGGTAAAACGTACGGATCCTCTAGGTCACTTAAGGCAAAAATGACGTCATTTTAGGATGGTATATAAGGCTCTTCCTTTTATTTTTTGACAGAAACCTTCTCCCTTCTCTCTCTCTTCCTCTTTTTTCTCTCGCCTCTCTCTAAAACGGTCGAAGAACTCCGGTTGAATATTCACCGAATTCTGGAATTTTTCACTGAAAGTTCATCGAAAAGTTGGTCGATTTCTGGGATCATTCGTCGAAAACTAGGCAGCTCGTCGGAAACTTCAAAGTTGACCGGAATCGTCGCCGGAAAATGTAACTTTCGTCGAAAAATTTAACCGGAATATGAAATTTTTCAGAAATTCCCAGAAAAAAAAATCTTTATAAATCTCCAAAAAATTTTTGCTAATTCCCAAGACACTTCTAAACCTTTTTTTAGCCTTCAAAAATTTTCTACACGCCCTTTTTCTCTCAAATCAGTAGCTTTTGCTCACTGGTTTTCTATATGTTCTGTTCTGTTCCAAGAGGTCACTTTTATAGGGATTTATCAAAAGAGTTTCTGATCAATCCCTATTCTTTTTTGGATCGATATTCAATCATTGAATCCAACATGGACTCTTCTGATTGAATCCCAATTCAATCCTCAGCCAGATAAATAAAAAAAAAATAAAAAAAAATCAAACAAAAAATGAATCATATAAATAAAAAAAATTAACAGATAAATTAAAATTAAATAACAGATAATACATAAATATTAACAAAACAAAAAAAAGAAGAAAATAATAATAATAATAATACAGATATATATTAATAAATACATAAATACCTAAGATAAAAAATAATAAAAAAAAGAAAAAAAAATATACATATATAAAATAATAAAAATACAAATACAAATAAAATACAAATAAACTAAAAATGTAAAATACAAAAAATAAAAAAAATAAAATGAAGAGAAAAAAAATACGGACTTACCTATTTAGACCAGGCCCAATCGATCCGGACCTGGATCAAATTGGGTGTCTACAACCACCTAAGGAATCTATCTTTTTAGAGAACACCTAAATTTAAGGGTCCTTAAAAAATAAGTTCGGGTTTACTAACCAAAACATGATTCGAGAGTTCGATTATGTGTGAGAAAGGTTATAGCACCTTCATAACGCCCATCAAAAAATGGTACCAGCTTAATTTTGTGTTATCCAATAAGTCTTAAAAATTTATCAAGTAATTAATTATTGAAAATTATTTTGAATTGACTCTAATATTTTTAGCAAAAAATTGAAAAAATTTTCTCACCTCAAGAGTATGTAAGAAAACTATTATCTCACTTGTAGAGGCTCTATCGTCGGATTATTTAAAGAAAATTCAAGAAAATAAAAAGAAAAAAGAAGAAAAAGAATGATTGCTTTTGTACAGAGAAAATTGATACTTTCAACTTTTCCTCAAAAAAATTTTTTTTTTTAAAATTTATTTTTAAGAAAAATTGATACTTTCAATTTTTTCTTAAAAAATATTTTTTAAATCTTTTTATTTTCAAAGGTTATTTAAAAGATGCCCTACAAATCAAAATTTCTTGTGAAACAGTTTAAACTTACTTGGTGTCCAACACGAGAACAAATGAACAGCTTCTTGCATCACATTTGCTTACGAGATGGTAACGGATTTAGGTGCATCAAATTCTTGGCCCTTTGCTCCTTTTTGGCTTGTTACATTGCCAGACTGATTTTCCTTCTTTCACTTTCTAGTTAGCGCTTTGTCCCACAGCTTCTACTAGTGCTTGATAAAGGACTGGTTACGCAAACACCAAGACCGAGGAACATCTAATCAGGAAGTTAAGAAATATCCTCCCTTGTCCGAGGCAAGAAAAAAGGCGATGGTAGTAAACAAAGGCAGGAAAGCTGTCCTAATCAAACTAGCTAGCAACAGGATCGGAATACATATATAATGTTCCAATAGAGTCACCCATCTCCTTCTCGACAACAAACCTAGTCACTTCAACCACTAGGCAAAACGTAGAATGGGCAATCTCCTGGCAACCTTCCAGTACTGTTATCGTTAAAGTTGCTCTATTTGCAATCAAGTTGCTTGAATACAGTGCCAAAGCATTCAAAGCATCAGCAGCTGCCTTTCACGTCGTGTTACTGTTTTCTGTTCGTTGGTTTGTATTACTTGACGAAAGAAGTGCCTCATCTTCATTCTTTTCTTTCTGGTGCAAGAAGGGAAGGGCTAAACCTTTTTCTTGGTTAAAAAGTGATCTATTTCCTTCAGAGTTCCTTTAGAGTGGAAGATTTTACCTTTAAAGTTTCGGGCTAGAAGTAGTCATCTTACTCGCCTCCGATGCTCTATAGATCCTTAATACAAATCGAGTCTTTGACTGAGACCAACTAATTGCTAAATTCAAATGGAACCAGAGTCCATCCAGACTAGATAATCAGCTTCTTCATTTGACTCTTGAAAGTTGGATTCTTTTATCGAATGAGGGAAGATAACAATCACCTGTACCGCTTCAAACAACATTTCAGCGAGCAAGTTATCGACTTTCATAAAGTAGCCCATGCCTTCTCGATACTATTTTAGGCGGTAAAGTTGCTAACAGAAGATTGAACACCTTTTGACACTACTTTTTTTCTCTCTCCTATTCAGATTCTTATTCTATATATTTTTTCCCCATTTTTCTTCTCTCCTTCCTTTGCCTTCTCATTCTAAAACAGCCTCTAAAAATCCTTCTTGAATTGCTGCTCGCTATTGCAACCAGGCCTCTTGCCACCACTATAATTTCAAACTTCCTCCACTGTTACCACTACCCAAAATAGCCTTATTGACTTCACTTTTTGTCTTCTTTTTCTAACTAAGCCTTACTAAGTAGATTTAGAGATGGAAGAGCAAGAACCTAAAAAATATTTTCCTAACTGCTTTGTGACCTCTCATTATGTGCAGGGCCCAAGTTTGCTGATTTTGGGAGGTGTCAATTTCGTGAAGATTTGATGATGGGGGGCAACAAGGCAATTGAAGTGACTTTAGTGCCAGAACAGGTGAATGGTTGAGGTACGGCCTATCTCAAGAAGGATGACCATTATGGTAGCTACTTCGATCGGGATGATTTGCTATTTTTTTCTTGTTAGTCTGGGTTTGATTGTGCTTGCTGTTGATAATTGAGGCTTGTTGAAAGTTGGATTTATATTTTCTGGAAATTGGTTTGCTGGGATTGAGAACTAGGCTGGTGGGTGGTTTTGGACTGAATAGACCACCATAGTGGTTCAAATGGTAGTAGGATAGGATGACATAGGTGGCCGATTTAGGTAGTGCGTAACAGAGAATGATGGCTAAATTAAAGGTGGTGATTGAATCGGCTACTGGATCTCTTGGTTTTGCTCGATTTGTCCTCTGTTTTTTTTACCTTCTCATTGTTGATATATAAAGCCATAATTGATAGGCGATCCAACCCTGCTATATATATAACCCATGGTTTCCCACCAAGGGGAAGCCTCGAGGGCTTGGTGGCGATGGGGGCTTCCCCTTTTGTTTGGCTTCTGTTTTTTCCCCCTCCTCCTTTATTACTATGAATTGTAATGATATATAAAATCAAGTGATTGTGTTTCAGTTCAATTTTGATTATCATCCAAAGCTAAAGATTAACATATCTAATTTTTTTTTATAACAATCATCACCAAGCCTAATCTCATTATTTTAACTTTTTTTAAAAAAAAAATAATCTGATAATGGAGAAAGAAAAGGAAAATAAACAATAGATAGAAAATAAAAATGATAAATATGAAATAAAAAATCTAAAATAAAAATGAATAAAAATCTTTACAATCGAACTCTCAATTAACAAAGAATCTCGGACAAAATAGAGTGTCTATAGTTGGATTTGATACGAATACCACCATATACCTGACTCAATCAAGGTGGGATGACAGTCTTAGTGTCCTGAAAGATATCTTCCCTAAAACATACATAAAGGTGAGTAAATTCTTCTTTTATCTGATGACAATTCTACCAATTATATTTTCAATGTGCTTCTTGAACCATTCATTATATGCAATGCTTGATTTTGAAAATCAACTGGCACAAGGTTATTCATGTAATATAGATATGGGTCTTGCTCGTAAGGATTCCCTGTTATCTAAATTTTGACTCTTCAACTTGAACTTCGAAAGTTTTCTCTAACATCCTTTGCATGCGGCATTAGTATATAATTTTTACACAATTTTTAATGCTTGAAGCTCAGTCTTGAAGTAAAACTTTGCTATTCCTATTATTCAAAACCCTTTTTTGCTATTTGAACTGTTGTAGGAGAGCATATTGCCAGAGGAGAAAAATGGGAAGTTCCTTGAATCAAAAGATTCACAATTTGAAAAGGTTATAGAATTCTACATATGTTCTCAGAGCGATGTCTTTGTTCCAGCCGTCTCTGGCCTGTTTTATGCCAATGTAGCCGAGAAAAGAATTGCTTCAGGGAAGCCTCAAATTTTTCCAGCTGATATACCTGTCACCTCTACCACCATCACCAACTACCTCTCTCCTTATGTTGCCAAGAAGAACCACTTAGCTTATTCATGCTTTTCTAACCTTCCCTTTTGAAGAAATTTGGAAAGGGTATTTATACATGCATTTACGGGTACCCTTGGTCCTTTCCATTTACCTCAGTCTAAGTCTTTTTAGGTAAGTAGATGGACAGTCAACTTCCTTTGGGTGTGAAGTGCCTTAGATAAAAGTTCTGTTGATTTTTTTTCTTCAATATGTTTTTCAATAGGATAGAAATGTTACAGGCTTTGAGTCAATATGCTGCTTGATGTGATGCAAAACTTCATTTTTATAATTTATTCATTCTTATTATAAGGATGCACATTTATAAATTTCCTGTCTTTAATTGATAAAAGAAAAAAGATTACTTTTGTATGGAGATGATTAATTAGATAAAATACAAGCTATTTTTTGCAGTTTTAATGGCGTAAAGAGTTTTTATATAGAAAGTTGCAATCCAGGAATAGAAAAAGGGTTTGTAAGTATTAGAATTTGAATTCCAAACTAATTGAATGCTACCTCAAAAGGGTCATTGAATGAGTCAAAGTTACGGATGTTGTAAGGAGCTTTTTGATCATATGAAATTGTTAAAAGCCGGTGGCAGACGGACACTTGTTGTAGGAATTAGAGTAGATGTTTTCTTTTCTGGT